GCGTGAGGTTATCGGGAGCTGATTTATGGTGTTTATCGTCAGGCGCCCAATAAGGCGCGAAAAATTTCCACTATGGCCTTCCTGCTGGCGCGTGAGCATAGGTTTGTTTATTTCGACCAAAATCAATTTTCTTAAGCGCGGGAATTTTATCAACCCTGACGTAGCCGGCTTTCCAATGTTAATCAACAGGTGCCTCCTTGTAACTGAAGGTCAGGTAAACAGTCCTGGAGACCGCAGACTCCTAGGAAACCTCTGAGGTACATGTGACTTTGGTTCGCATGTTGTCCCTTTAACCCCGGTAACTGAAATTTGCCACGAGGCCTCGTGCTATAACTCACTTGTTGTGCACGTAGTAACCTTAAAATCGGACTGAGTTTACGCTTTATTTTTCAAAGTGTCCCTGTCACTTACCTAGCCCAGGCACTATCAAACACCCCAAAATAGTTAGTGACGGGGTTTATAATCATTGCCTCCCCCCGTTCACCTTGTCTATATATCATCGACTCAAGAATAGAGCCCGCTATATCATTCATAAAATATAAATTCCAAACATTATGACATACTTTTGCTTATTTTTAATACTGAAATATTCGTTCGATCTTGGTTTACTGCCACTCGACTGTAAGAGTGTTTTTGGTTGCATCCTTTTGTATATCTGCCTAGAAAAGGCGTCAACCAACAAGCCCTGCTATAGACCAAAGATGACTAAGCATCATCGATTTTTTCGGTATGTTTAAAATACTCGCTGTTCTGCCGACGAACTGGTGCGCCAGAGTCGAAACTTCCCAATAAAGTTTGTAAGCGTTTCCCAACAAAATTCTTCCACCAAAAAATATTATACAATACATCAAAATAAAATGCAATAGATTGGCTTTCATTTTCAACAATTTTTTTTTCACTCGCTAATAAAGAGCAGTTAAATGTAGAAGAAAAACCTCTGGTCATAGGACGAGAAGAAGGGAAGAGCAAATATCTTAAACTCTACTGAGGTAGATTGCATGGAGATTTGGAAAAGGCATCAGCAGATTGGAACTTACGGCTTCATGAACCTTTTTGTGGTGACAGAGTTCTTCACGGAGGGACTTCACTTCGTTCATCGAGGCGTGATGAGCCAGTGAAAGACGATCAACTTCCTGTGAATCAGACATAAAGTGGTGATCAGCATATCTACCCTCAAGGACACCCTAGTGACGTATGTGTAGGAAGATCATGCGTGCAAATTGCAAATGGTGAAGGAGCAGATACAGTGGCAACGCCTTTCACTTAATAAAGTACGGCTGAGAATTCCTGCAACATGCCGACATTTGCGAAAGATTAATACCCACTCGATAATCGGCATTAAGTAAGGTTGTAATACTGATTATTGTGTAGCCTATCTTTATGTCATTTCAGTCACGATAGGATGCTGGCTTTTTAAGGAGCTTCTTTTCGACCGCTAACAAAAAGCATGCACTGTAAAAAGTTGGCTACTTACGTAGTATGCCCTTTATCATTCACTTTGACTGCATTTACAAATTCAAATATATTTTATGAAAAACATAAACGAAAAAAACACCGTTCTCGTTTGGAAGCAAATTAAGCCTTCTTTAAATTGTATACTTAAAGGAAGGGTATCTTTCGGTTTTAAAAAGTTTCTACTATCTGAGCTTTTTTACGACTGTGAGGTGCTCATCCATCATATATCACATCCGTCAATTTATTAATGCTGCCTATAATGTGCACAGCATGTTCCACATGTGTTACAATATTTTATGAGAACTATATGATTTTTTCTTCAAACTGTCGGCGAAAAGGTACTTTTCCTGAAACAGGATTTAAACAGCGTGCAGTTCGTAAAACTTGAATTCAAGTGCAGCAGTCAGTAGGTTAAAAAATTATTTGGCCATTTAGAAACTTTTTTAAAACCGAAATATACCCTTCCTTTAAGTATGGATTTTAAAGAAGGCGTAATTTTCTATTAAACGAGTAGAATATATATTTTCATTTATGTTTTCCATCAAATATATTTTAATGCATAAAGGCATTCAAAATCACTCATGAAAATGTATACTGCTTAGGTAGCTACTTTTTACAGTACATACTTTCTGTTAGCAAACAGAAGGAAGCTAGTTTAAAAGTCGGCATCCTATCGAGACTGAAATGACTTGAGAATAGGCTACATGATAATCAGTATTACAACCCTACTCAGTGCCAATGAGCGAGTGAGTATCAATTTTTCGCAACTGTCGGCATTTTGCACGAATTCCGAATCTTATTGTAGACTATACACTGAAATTCAACGAGACAAACGAGTCTCTTAATCCAATTGGTGAGCGCTTTTACTATGATTACGAATATTAAGAAAAAAACCGATCGGCTAAGGCGTCCGCGGTGCAGTAGTGGAGCGTTGGTCTCAAGGACCAAAGGCTCTGCGTTCGAATTCCCGAAACTCCAAACCCAATTGGCTGGTGAAGACCGATAAGCTAGGCTGGGCGTTCCCGTCCCCTTTGCTTTTATCCTTAAGCGGTGCGCGAGTACCTGCGGCTCGAAATGGTCCCGTAATCCGATCAGTAGACCTCCTAACTGTGATAAAGATCAAATATAGTTAAACTAATTACGCCACAGGACTCTAATGTTGATCCTGCCTGAGGCTGATAATAATGGGTAGGATAAGTGCCCTGGACTTTTTGCAGGCATAGCCGTGACATCAACGAGCAGAAGAGAATGCTCGCACGACGTTATGCTAGATATAAGTTGGACAGTTTTTTTAAAGTTCGGTGTGTCGAAGTGGAGGACGCCGATGAGGGATCAGTGAGTTACCGAATGGCATGATATTGATTATTAATCCTCATTGTAGGGTGGGTTCAGAGGGTCAGTGAGTTAACCCCAAAAATCAATAAAAAAAGTTTCTATCAACATAACAGGAGACGATTGTTATGTTAGAGCCCCAAGTTTCGGTTCAATTTTGTGTTCATTATGACGATCACCACAGTAGTGTGGGCAGATAGTGTTACCGGCAAAGACAAGGGAGACTGGAATGGCCATTTCTGGATTATTAGCCGTCGTCAGCCAGTCATAGCCAGACCCAAGGCGCATTCAACCCGAGCCTTAAAATTGCAACCCCTTTGATCAGAGTCAAACGCCCTAAACATAGAGTCAGGAGCTCGTTGTCTTGTCGGGTTGAGTCAAGGGATACTGACACACACTTATGAGCGTTTATCCGAGCGCTAACGAAATTCATCTGCCTTACTCTGCCTGAGGTCTCGACAGAGGTCCTGACAGCCGTAATGGCTGGTAGTGTAGGCAGATATTATTACCGGCAAAGACAAGGGAGACTGGAATAGCCAATTCTGGCTTATTAGCCGTCGTCAGCCAGCCATAGCCAGACTCAAGGGGCATCCTACCCGAGATCAAACTCTTTGATCAGAGTCAAATGCCCTAACCATTGAGACACGAGCTCGTTTTCTGGCCTACATTACCAGCTGCTATGGTGTCAGGGCTTCTGTCGATACCTCAGGCAGAGCGGGACAGATGAGTTCCGTTAGCGATCGGGTGAACGTTCGTCAAAAAGGATCACCTCAGTGTCAACAACCATTTCAATTGACGTTTTTAATGATTAATCTCGGTGTAACCCACTTGCTTACCCTGCCCGTTTGTCTACGTAAAAACCTAGGTCTTGCAGATATTTTGACAAACTTAACATACTTAACTTAACATACATACTTAACTCAACC